AAGAGTGTTACAGGGAAATTGGCATTGTGTTCCTTGCAGAATACATAAATGGTTAAGACGGCCAGGAGGAAAATTTCAAAATATGTAATACTTTTAAACACTAACTTCCATGTTTCATTTTTTCAATGAGCTATTTTCCAAACATGTTTACAAACAGAAACGAAGGGTCACGTTGTGTAACTGTGTAATAGTTAAATGCATGGAAAAAAATTGAAATTGATGGTTTCACACAGGCTCTCAATTTTTGTTCTTAGTTTTCTTTTTCTAAATATAATTTAGATTTTCTTCCTTTCTGAGGAACAATGACAATGCTGAGACATGGAAAGTCACTAAGCATGACTTCAAACCAATTTAAACATCTTAGAGCAATTCAGTAATGGAGTGTGGTAGGCACTACGCCTGCCTCACCAACATTCTTTCCCTTTTCCTTTCAAAATTTCTATCTACTTAAGTTTGCGCAGTCACCCTGCCTCCATTAAAGCCCTTGAACTTTGGAAGAAGCTAACACTATGACTCAAGGGCTGGGACAGGTGCCTCAGGTTTAAACTAATCAGCATAAATCTATTTTCCGGCCAATCACTGCTTCATCATGTGACCTAAACTGGCCAATCAGGGTGAATTTTAGGACCCTTGCTGGGAATGCTGGGACAGATGCTCTCAGCAGACTGGACATGCCAGCCCCAGTCAAGCAGGCAGCTTGACTGGGGCTGGCATCCATCCCATGGCCAGCCTGTCTGCCCTATTAACAGAGTGGAGACCTCATCCTCCCTTCCAAAGTAACTATATCTTTTACCACTTTGTTAAACAATCAGATTGATTTGTCAATCCTCTGTGGAATTTACTAATGGGAGTCAATTTATTCGACCTTTATTTAAGCCCATTGGAGTAGGGTTTCATTAACGAGGTTGAGTAAACTTCATGTGCTTGTCATCTATATAGCTTTGGTGAAGCACCTATTCAAATCTTTTCCTCACTCTTCTTCTACTGGATTATTTTCTTATTATTGGGTTTTGAGAGTTCTTTATATATTTTGCATAAAAGTGATTTATAATTTTCTCCCAATCTGTAGCTTGTCTCTGGATTTTCTTAACAGTGTCTTGTGAAGAGCAGATGTTTTAAATTTTGGTGAAGCTCCATTTATCAAGTTTTTATTTTCTGGATTGTGCTTTATACATTACATCTAGGAGATCTTTATCAAGTTCACAAAGATTATCTCCTATGTTTTCTTCCAGAAGTTTTATAGTTTTATATTTCATATTTAAATTAAGTCTAGGATCCTTTGATCCTAGAATACAGTGTAAAGCACAGGTGAACTTATTTTTTCCCATATGAATGTCCAGTTGTTCCAACACCACTTGATGAAAGACGGTCCTTTCACCATTGAAGTGCCTTTGAATTTTTGTCAAAAATCAACTGACCATACCTGTGTGGGTCTATTTCTGGCTTCTCTACTTTGTTCCATTGATAGATGTGTCTGTCTTTGTGCCAATATCACACTGTCTTGATCACTACTGTAGCTTTATAGAAGGGTTTCTCCACAGTGACATGAACAATATTTTGGGCCAGATAATTTTCTGGGGTGCTGTCCTATGCATTATAGGATGTTTAGCAGCATTCTTAGCCTTTACCCACTAGATGCCAGTAGCAGTAGCACCACCCTTCCCCCTTTTTCCGAACTGTGACATTAAAAAACTTTCCAGGACACAGCCAAATGTTCCCTGGGAGAGAGGGGGCAAAATCATCCCTAGCTGAGAACCACTGCTTTATCTTGAAATCAGATAGCACGGCTCTTCCAACTTTTTCAAAATTGTTTTGGCTAGTCTAGTTCCTTTGCTTTTCCATATAAATTTTAGAATCTGTTTATCAATTTCTACCAGAACCCCAGATGGGAGTTCGATTAGGATTGCTTTGAACCTATAAATCAATTTAGGGAGAATTGACATCTTAAAAATACTGAGTCTTTCGTGCCACTTATTTAGGACTTCTTTGATTTCTTTCATCAGTGTTTGGTAGTTTTTAGCATACAAATCTCTACAGATTTACACCTAATTTTTCAACGTTTTTGATGCTTTTATAAACAGTACTGTTTTTTAATTTTGATAATTTTTTTTTTTTTGGAGTAAAGGCCTTTATTTGAGTAAGATTTAAAGTCATCCAGCATACCTGTTTGTAGGAATTATACAAAATAATTGCTAACAACATGGTGAAACTATGGTATAAGAATCTCTAAACGTGAAGGTTGATTGATTTCTGTACACTGATCTTACGTCCTATGATCTTGCTAAACTCAGTTTTAGTAACTTCTCTTGTAAATTCTTTCAGGTTACTTCTGTCACAAAAGACAACTGCATCTTATGTCAATATACGCGGTTTTATTTCTTTTTCTTACCTTACTGCACTGGCTAGAACCTGCAGCACAATATCAAATAGGAGTGGTAAAGCAGGTATTCTTGTCTTGTTCCCAATTTTAGGGGAAAAGCATTCAGTCTTTCACCATAAAGTATGATGTTAGCTGTAGGTTTTTTGTAGATAATTTTTTTTCTTGAAGAAGTTCCTTTCTACTCCTAGGATTTTTTTTTAAACTCATGAATGGATATTGAATTTTTTCAAATGATTTTTCTGCATCTATTAAGATGGTCATAAGACTTTCCTTATTTATTCTGTTAATATGGTGAATTATATTAATTGGTTTTTACAGGGTTGGACTAACGGTGCATTGTCAGGGTAAACACCACTTAGTCACAGTATATTCCTCTTATTTATACACTGCTAGATTAAATTTGCTAATATAGTTTTTAAGGCTTTTATAGTTGCTTTTTAATGTGTTTGTATCCTCCATAGTTCTGTAAATGAAGGGCACGACCTGTGTTTTTCATTACCAGCCTAATGTTTCATTATAGTCCTAATGTCTATGGTTTATAGGTCCAAAGAAAATAAACATTTTAAAAGCAGTTGTGAATCAATTTACCAGAAAATACTACCTGACTTAAACAAACCATCTGTAAAGCAAGACATTTAATTCCTATGTCATATTTACAACATACAAATCATAAAACTGTCATCTGTGTGACTAAACTCTGTACCAATGCTTATAAAGAGGTATATCAGTTATCTCATACTTTTATTGTAGGTCTCATTAAGTGCAAACACTGAAGCCAGAATATGTAGTAATTATCCTAACAGCTATAGACAAAGAAAAAAGTCAGTAAAGGTCCTAACACCATATCTTTTCTTTGTGCATTTGTATTATGAAGTTGCAAAACCTCTCTCCGTTTTCTTAGTTTTGTCTCAAATCTTTTCCAATGCAGAATCTATCCAGGTTAAATAGGACAAGATTTTATGGTTTTTCTCATGCTTCTCTGATTATAAAAAGCTACATAAAAGAAAAGCATAAAAATAAAACTTGTACGGTGTCAGTGTCAGTGTACTTACTTTAGCATATTCGTAAAACTGGGAAGGTAATAAAGGTCTAATCTAATTTGGTAGTTGTGATGATCAAATAAAATTTTACCCATTAAAATGCTCTGAAAACTAAATGCTATATGTAATTAACAGGCCAGTTAAACAAATTTCTCTTTTTCAATCATCACTTTCTACTTTGTATTAATTTTTGAAAAATGCTATCTTACTTCTACTGGGTAATGTAATATCCCACAGTGCCACATACATATTTGGTAGGCAAGAGTTTCTTGGATGAATGAATCGATCTGCATTTTTGTTAGTAATATAACAATGTTACTATTAGCTGTCCTTCGCTGTAGGGAA